GAAACTTTGTTTCTTTATATATATATATATATATATATATATATATATATATATATATATATATATATATATATATATATATATATATATATATATGTTTTGCAAACTACAAGCATTGACTTAGCTATGTAGTTGCAGAAAGTTACTTCTTTTTGTGACAAATGTATATCCATCTGACACCATGTTCCTGATGAGCCATTGCTATATTTTTTTGGTCTACAGTTTCTCTAAATTGTTTGTTGAAATGTGTATTACTTTCCCAGTTCTTATGATCAAGTTAGAACTAAGCTGCAGTTGTATGTCAGAAAACCAGACTCAGCATCTCTTCGTAAGACTAGCTTAAATTCACCTTTTGTCCTAAATCATTGGACCAAATTTTCATTATTTGCAAAAAATTAGAAACGTGTCATCAAATACCTTTTGCTTCATTTCAGAGGAAATAGCATATGTACCTTTCAAATTAGCTTATTAGTCTTCACAAGCTTCTTGTGTAATCCTCCATAATGCTTCATAGCACTCCTTCAAGGCTATATATTAGGTGGAACTGAAAGTGCTTGACAAATATATGCATATGCACTTGCAACTCTATAAGGTCACTAGTTGTTATCAAATATAATGTCATCAGTTTTATTAATTATCAGTCAAATTTAACAGGTTTTGTCTTGTCATTGTTCTGCTCTGCTAGATGATTCAACACATCAGATACAAGATCCCAAAAGTTGCATGCCTGCATATTTTCTTGTGATCATCTTTATTGCTGAGTTGTTTTTTAATTTTACAGAACTAAGACATCACAAGAACTGACAATCCTTTCATTTCTAGGTTTCGTTATAGATCCAACAAAATGCAGCCACTTAAGTTTGGAGGAGAAGAGAGAGCTAGTTCATGAGATATCACGCTGGGCGGACAATGCACCTGAAATTCTTCAATCCTGGAGTCGCCGAGAGCTCCTCCAACTAATCTGTGCTGAAATGGGAAAAGAAAGGAAGTACACTGGAGTAACTAAGCCCAAAATGATTGAACATCTGCTTAGGCTAGTTTCTCAAAATAAAGGAAAAACCAATGAAGACAAAGCAGGCCTTTTATCAGCCTCACCAAAAAGCCCAACTGGAATAAAAAAGAAAAGGAAGAAAGAAAACCCATTGCAGAATTCCACAGATTTAACTCATGAAACACTGAAAACCAAGGAAGAACATGTTGATGCCTTGATCTGCCAAAATCCAGCTTGTCGAGCCACATTGAGTTTAGATGTGGGTTACTGCAAGCGTTGCTCTTGCTGCATCTGTCACCACTATGATGACAACAAGGACCCTAGCCTGTGGTTGGTTTGCAATTCAGATCCCCCTTATTGTGGCAATTCATGTGGCATGTCATGCCATCTGAAATGTGCTCTTAAGCATGAAAAAGCTGGCATTTTGAAGACTGGGTGTTCAGCAAAATTAGATGCCAGCTTCTATTGTGTTTGCTGTGGGAAAGTGAATTGGCTGATTGGGTAATCAACTTTGGATGACACCACAAACTTATTAAAGAGAATTTTTAACTGCACATCTTGTACATTAATCTTGCATTCCAGATAGCAATAGATGAATACTGTACTGAAAAAAAGGAACATATTAAAAAAAAGATTATCAAGATTATCTATTGTACTACATTAGAAGGAAGATAAGGTGGAGTGTTTTATTGGAATGATTGAAAATAAACTACAAAAGCTTGGCCTAACAGCCACGTGAACTTATTGCTAACTGACAATTAAGGGTTATATTGGTGTATTGAATTTGAAGAAACATTAATTATGTCATGGCCCTTGTTATTGATATATTGCTTTGTGAGGTTTGCTGTCTAATGTCAATGTTTCTAACTAATTTTTCTGCTCAATTATGACAATTTATTTTGACTTTAATTTATATATGTATTATGCCAAAATCACTGTTATGCAACCAATAGTTTATACAGAATATTTAATGGATCGAATCATAAATCAATTTGGCATTGTATATTTCCTATTCAAAGTGATTTATTATTCTTGCACACGTTGTAGATGATAGCATCACGCCATCCATTCTGCTTTCTGATGCAACTCAATATTCATTCAGACATGTAGGTTATTAAAGGGATCTTAGGTTAGTAACCGGTTTCCTTATTATTCTTTTGCTTCTTGTGAATTAAAATTTTTTGTGGGACTTCCTTTTTTCCTTGAGGACAAATAAATTTCCATATTTGATTTTTCATATTTGATTAGTTGAGGAATTTGATCAGTATCATATAAAAACACTCTAGTACAGTTTGTGTTAACCATAAATTAAAACCTTATTAGTACATGAGGAATGTGCACACTGGAGTTTATTTGGTTAAGACATTGTCCTTTCTACTTTGTTGGAAGTTGTATATGTCATCCAGAATCCCGATTCAATTATGCAAAAATTGATAGGAAACTTTTTGCACCATTCATGCAGAAGCTGGCGGAAACAGATGCTAATTGCAAAGGAAGCTCGGAGAGTCGATGTCCTGTGTGAGCGTTTATCCCTAAGTTACAAAATGCTCAAATGGACTGAATGCTATAAAGAGCTACAAAATATTGTCAATGCAGCTGTAAGGATACTCAAGAAAGAAGTTGGACCTCTCGACAAGGTCTCCACAGTGATGGCAAGAGGCATTGTCAACCGGCTTAATTGTGGTGCAGAAGTTCAGAAACTATGTGTTACTGCACTGGAAGTTGTAGACTCCCTACTTTGCACTTCGTCAGACAACTTGTCTGGCATGAGCATGAAGAACTCAGGTGAGATCCCTTTTTCTTTTCTGGTATATTTGATTATGAATATGTTGTTGGTTCCTATGGATATGAACAGATCATTTTGAGACTGTCACTGGATCAGGTGGTGTAGGTTCCCAGATTTTCCACATTGACTTTGAAGATACTTCTCCATTCTCTGTTGTTGTTTCTCTTCACTCCAGAGATGATATGTTTGAAGAAAACATTATAGGCTGCAGTCTTTGGTATCGTAAGTCTGATGACATCAGCTATCCAGAAGAACCAAATTGCCTTGTACTGAGGCCAGATACTAAGATTATGATATCGGGTCTTAGCCCCTCAACTGAATATCATTTTAGGGTTTCTCCTTTCAGCAGCACCAAGGAACTTGGTAAGTGGGATGCCAAATGTGTGACAGAGAGCCTAAATGGCAACAGTGGTCAATGCTCCACTCGGAACTCCGATAGCACTTATATTAATGAAGATTTTCTCTCAGTTCCAAAGAAGGAACAGGACTTGGGTGAGCTGCCGGTCATTATTCAATCAGACTCGCAGAAGGGTTCAACAAACTCGAGCGAGAACAACCAGGCACCAGAGCTCCCTAAGTTCAGCCGTGCCAACCACCATAAAGTTTTACCATCTGAGGATGCTAGTGACAACAACGAAAGTCATTTACCACCACCATCTAATCCTGTCCCTTTTATCTGCTCCAAGCCTGTGCTCCTCGAACCTTGCAAGCCTGATATTAATAATACGCCAGATTCCGCCAACAAGAAAGAATCGGCAGAGAGACAGTACGAATACTGTGTTAAGGTGATCAGATGGTTGGAATGTGAGGGGCACATGGAAAAGGAGTTTCGAGTGAAGTTCCTTACCTGGTTCAGTTTGAAAGCGACAGCACAAGAAAGAAGGGTTGTAAATGCTTTCATAGATGTTCTGATCGACGAACCTGCTAGTCTGGTTGCTCAGCTGATGGATACTTTCATGGATGGCATATCTAACAAGGAGAAACCAATGTTACACAAAGGATTCTGCACCAGGATGTGGCATTAGCCATTAGCTAATCCAAGTAACCATGCTGGCCTCTTTTTGTACCAGATGCACAACTTCAGCCTGGTCCTGCATTGCTTTTCAGAAGTAATTAACTATGGTAGAATTGGGATCTTGTAAGAGGGAGAAGCTTTCTCTTCTAATTTGTTAGGTTCTGCAGGATACCTTGTTTAATCTAATATTGCCACTAATTATTATGTTTCCGCGTTAGGAACTAGAATTTAGAAGATGCAATGCCATGTTGACATTTGTCCATGCAACTCAATTTCTTCCAGCACATTGAATTCCACCTAGTTCAGCTTATGGCATTTTTCTACTGTGGCAAATCATGCTTGATTTTGTTCAGTTGCAGACCACTTTGCACCTTCTAAGCATCAATGGTTCTGAACTTTTGTGTAATGTCAAGTCTATGAAGAAAGTTTAGAGCCTGCTTTCATGCAATCACACATTCAAAGTTTAGGATTGGCATTGTGTTCTGATGTGCTCATAGCTTTTGACTTCTGGGAGAATGAAAGATAAACTGAAGATGTAGCCACAGGATGATTATGATCTATTAAGCCTCATATCAGCACAGGTACAACTTGTTTGCTGAATTATGTATCATCATTGTTTACTTTTCCAGTTCCTTTGTTTTCATCATCAATTTGGAAGCTACAGAAGAACAGCTGATGGCAAGAGAACTTATGGAGCCATTTATTTATGTGGTGATCCTGGTCATACACATGGCATGCCTTGGAATGCATACACCAAGAGTATCTATTTGTCATACTTGGCTGAAACCTTAGATGATTGATGTGGTAGAGATGATGCAAAAAGACACACCACCACAAGTCAAAAGTGCACTCTTAAGCTCAGCCTCTTCTAATCTTCAACCCTGCATCATGTTGGGTAATGGTTCTTGGGTAGATTGAATACCTTGTGCTCAAGTCCAAATAAAATTGACATTTTTTTTTTCTCCATCGGATTCATATGCCTTTCCACCATTTGGATGCTTGTGTTTTGCGCTCTATTAGTCTAACTATTTCAAGTGATGCTTAAGTCACTACCATCATACAGTTTGTGGAAGCTGTCGGATTCATAAGCTATCTCAACAAATGTTTAATGCATTGCTATCTCAACAGATGTTTAATGCATTGCCAATAAATGGTTCGTAGAAGCTATCAGATTGAGTTTCCACTATGTTTCCCACGATTGTCTTGGATGCTTTCCAATGTCTTCTTTCCTTTTCCTACTTGCTAATACGACATTGTCATCGATCTGGAGCTTGGATAATCTGTAATGTGATTTACAAATAGTTTTCCAAAGTCATTGCCAATCGCATTCAGTGGCCTTGGATAATCCCCTTTGGTTATCTTTAAGCTGGATGAGAGAACTTTTGACGACATCTTTTGTTATGCCATCCTTGAGGTCCTAAAGCTTATGAACTTTTCCCCTCCCTTCCATCTCTTGAATCTCTTTATATCTCTCATCTCTATCCTTTATTTGCTTAATCAATATCATTGTCTAGCATAGCAAGAACACCCTTTGACATTTTATGTTCTCTATTGACGTAATTATCTTTTTCCGAGCCAACCCTAAATATTGTTCTCCTTCCATTAGAGGGCTGTTACGGATACTAATGATCTTTTTTTCATCCTTTAAAAGCTTAAGAGGACTGGCATAATGCAAAGATGCAACACATCTTAAGGAGTCTCTCATGCTTTCAAACTTGAGTGTGATGGCTCTTTTGATCCTGCTTTTGGCCTAGCAAGTGGTTTCTCATGCTTAGTTGCCTCCCCTTCATAAGCTGAGGCATTTGCGTTGTTGAAAGACCTCTCAAGAAAGCTTGCTCATACAACATGCATTCCTTTGAAGTATGAACATATGCCTCTCAACTAGTCAACTGCATAAACTCTAACCATAAGAGTTCATGAAGCCTTAAAACTCTAATTTTGAATTGGAGGGGTGCTGATCGCTCAGGCGGGAAAAACAGATTTGACTCGTCGTGGGGCGATCGGGGGGCAACGCCCCGTGCTTCGGGCAGGATTGACCCTGCTAGTCGGGCAATCGGGGCCTGTCGAGAGCGATCTGGAGTGTCCCGGGCAAGAGCTGAAATCGTGAGCCGAACGACTATGCTCGGGCTCAGGTCTCGGTGCCGGCGGGTGCCCTGTCGAGAGTGATCTGGAGCGTCTCGAGCAAGAGCTGGAATCGCGAGCCAAACAACTATGCTCGGGCTCATGTCTCGGTGCCAACGGGTTACTTGTCAAGAGCGATCTGGAGCAACTCGGGCAGGGATTAGACCTGTGGGCCGAGCGACAAACCTCGGGCTCAGGTTTGGTGCCGGCAAGTTGCAAGTCAGGGATCGATCTAGAGCGACCCGAGCAAGGATTAGACCTGTGGGCAGAGCGACAGACCTTGGGCTCAAGTATGGTGCCGGCGAGTCGCAAGTCGGGGATCGATCTGGAATGACTCGAGCATGGATTAGACATGTGGGCTGAACGACAAACCTTGGGCTCAGGTATGGTGCCGGCGAGTCACAAGTCAAGGGCGATCTGGAGTGACTCGGGTAGGATTGGACCTGTGGGTCGAGGGATGGATCCCGGGCTCAGGTTTGGTGTCGGCGAGTCGCAAGTCGGGGGCGATTTGGAGCGACTCGGGCAGAAGTAGGGCCGGCGAGTCGCAAGTTAAGGATTGACATGGAGCGACTCGGGCAGAAGCTTGGGCCGGCAAGTCGTAAGTCGGGGATCGACATGGAGCGACTCGGGCAGAAGCTGGATCGACGAGTCACAAGTCGGGATCGAC